CCAGATTGTCGTCCTTGCTTATGAAAAAGGCTGCTGCTCTGCATCCTGTATCCTCTCTGCTCTGACCTTTCGCCTCGGGCCACACTTCTGACTGTGCATCCGTCTCCTGACCGGTTTCTGTCCAAGCTGCTCCCCCTTCACGCTTCATCCTACTCGTAGCTCCTAATCTACCTCCAGTTCACTAATTCTGTTAAACGTGTTCATTGAGTTCTTATTATCAGTTCACGTATTGTTTCGTTCTAGCGTTTCCATTTGTCTTCTTTTATTTCCCCCTAGTTTGCCCAAAGCCTCCATCTTGTCTTACTCCTAGAGCAGGGTAAGCATTGTGCCCCCACACCTACACCTGCTAAGCCTACCGCCCAGGCCCTGTGGCTCGGGTTCTGCCAGTTCTGCTCTTTTCCTGCTCACGCTTCTTGTCTCACTGTGTTCCTGATTTTTTATTGTATCTGAAACGTTAAAAGCACAGCGAGGCCTGGGCTGGCTAAGCTCCTCCAGGGAGGCGACGCACTGGCTCTGGGCTGGTGCCCTGGGCACTGGCTGTGCACTTTCAGGGCCTGAGGCGACTGGCAGCCGGCTCAGCCCGAGAGGCCCAGGACGCCTGGGTCCCCGCACGCCTGGAGGGGACCTCCTCCTGGGAGTTCTGGGCTTTTTATTTCTTTTTTATCTCACTTTTGTCCTAAGTGCTGTACAGCTGCTCATGTTTCAATAGAGTTTTATTTTTTGAATTGAGGTATAACTGACATATAACATATTAGTTTCACGTATACAATGTAATGATTTGATAATTGTGTATATTGCAAAAAAAAAAATCATCACAGTAAGTCTAGTTAACTCCATCATAATAGTTACCATTTTTTCTTCTGATGACAAGTTTTAAGATCTACCCTCTTACCAGCTTTCAAACACGCTGTCCATGAAATCCGCAGGACTTCCCCTTTGGGTGGAAATTGCACCCTTTGACACCCGTCACCCATCTTGCCCAACCCCACCTTCTGCCTCAGGCGACCACCCATCTGCTCGCACTGAGTGGTTTTTTCCTTCTGAATTCCACAAAAGTGAGATCATACAGTATTTGTCTTCCTCTGACTTATTTCACTTAGTCTAGTACCCTCAAGGTCCATTCATGTTGCAAATGGCAAGATTCCATTCGTTTTTGTGGCTGAATAATATTTGTTGTATATACACACACATTTCTTTATGCTTTCATCCCTCGGGGAACACTTACGTTGCTTCCAAGTCTTAACTATTGTAAGTAACACGGCCGTGAACGTGGGGATGCAGATACCTTTTCAAATTAGTGTTTTCATTTTCTTCAGATAAGTACCCAGAAGTGGAACTGTTGGGTCATAAGGTAGTTCTATTTTTAATTTTCTGAGGAACCTCCATTCTGTTTTCCGTTGTGGCTGCACAATGTACATTCCCGCCAGCAGTGCACAGGGGTCCCCTTTTCCTCGTAGCCTCTCCAGCACCTGTTATTCCTTGTCTTGTTGAGAAGAGCCATCCTGACAGGTGCGAGGTGACACTCGCTGTGGTTTTGATTTGCATTTCCCTGAATGAGTGATGTTTAGCAACTTTTCATGCACTTGTTAGCCATATATATATGTTCTTTGTAAAAATGTCTGTGCCGATCCTCTGCCTATTTTTCAATCGGATTGTTTGGGTTTCTTTTTTTTTTTTTTTTTGCTATTGAGTCGTATGAGTTTTTAGAAATGTATTTTGAATATTAACCCCTTATCAGACATATGATTTCCAACTATTTTCTCTCATTCAGTAGGCTCTGCCTTTTCGTTTTATTGATAGTTTCCTTTGCTGTGCAGAAGCTTTTTTAGTTTCATGTGGTCCCACTTATTTTTGCTTTTGATGCCTTTGCTTTTGGTATGAAATCCAGTCACCAAGGCAGATTCAAGGAGCTTACTGCCTATGTTTTCTTGTAGGAGTTTTATGGTTTCAGGTCTTACATTCAAGTCTTTAATCCATTTTGAGTTAATTTTTGTGTATAGTGTAAGATCGTGGCCCAGTTTCATTCTTTTCATGTAGCTAATTATGTCATATATGGCCTTTATGATGTTGAGGTACGTTCCCTCAATACTCACTTTGTTGAGAGCTTTCAATCATAAATAGATGTTGATTTTTGTCAAATGCTATTTCTGCACCTGAGATGGTCATATGATTTTTATCCTTCATTTTGTTAATATGGTTATCATATTGATTGATATGTGGATGTTAAACCATCCTTGCATCCCTGGAATAAGTCCCCCTTGATCATGGTGTATGATCCTTTTAACATATTGTTGAATTCCATTTGCTAACATTTTATTGAGGATTTTTGCATCTGTGTTCATCAGGGAATTGGCCTGTAATTTTCTTTCTTGTGGCGTCCTTGTCTGGTTTTGGTATCAGGCAATGCTGGCTTTGTAAGATGAGTTTGGAAGTGTTCCCTCCTCTTCTGTTTTTTTTGAAGAGTTTGAGAAGGATTGATATTAATTCTAATTTGAATGTTTGTAGAATTTACCAGTGAAGCTGTCTGGTCCTGGACGTTTGTTTGTTGGGTTTTTTGATTACTGACTTAATTTCCGTATTAGTATTTGGTCTGTTCAGATTTTCTATTTCTTCATGTTTCAGTCTTGGTAGTTGTAGGTTTCTAGGAGTTAATCCATTTCTTGTAGGTTGTCCAATTTGCTGGCGTCTAATTGTTCACTGTGGTCTCATGATCCTTTGGTATTTCTGTGGTATCAGTTGTAACACCTCTTTCATTTCTTTTTGCATTTTCTCTCTCTCTTTTTGTGAGTCTAGGTCAGGGGTCGGCAAACTTTTGAGACAGAAGAGCCAATCCTGTCCCTCACAACAATTTAAAAATTATTTGAGAGCCATAAATGTATTTTTACAAATAAGAAAAAATTTTAAATCCTTCAAAAATTTTATAAATGAAACTATGGTAGTTTTATTTTCATTTTCATTTTTACTTTAGAGCCACATGTATGTACCCAAAGAGCAGCATGTGGCTCGCGAGCCACAGTTTGCCGACGACCCCTGGTCTAGGTAAAGGTTTATCAATTTTGTTTATCTTTTCAAAGAACCGGCTCTTCCTTTTTTTGATCTTTCCCACTTTCTTTTTAGTCTCTATTTCATTTCTTCCCACTTCTGATCTTTATTTCCTTCCCTCTACTAACTTTGGGCTTTGTTCTTTTTCTAGTTCCTTGAGGTGTAAAGTTAGGTTGGTTGTGATTTTTGTTTCTTGCTGTAGGCACTTAACACTATGAACTTCCCTCTTAGAACTGCCTTTGCTGCATCCCGTAAGTGTTGGTATGTTGTATTGGGTTGTCGGAAAAGTCATGACGTATTTTTTCAATGTTTTTCATTACAAAAATGTGTCATGACTTTTCCGACAACCCAATATTTCCACTTTCATTTGCTTCAAAGTATTTTTTTATTTCTTTTTTTTCTCCTTTGACCCATTGGTTGTTCAGTAGCATGCTGCTTCACCTCTGACCTACTGTGGATTTTCCAGTTTTCCTGTAATTGATTTCTAGTTTCACACCACTGTCAGAAGAAGATGCTTGATATGACTTCAGTCTTTCTAAAATTTTTAAGACTTGTTTTGTGGTCAAACATGATTTACCCTGGAGAATGTTCCCTGTGTGCTTGAGAAGAATCTGTAATCTGTTGGTTTTTGGATGGAATGTTCTCTCTATATATGTGTTACGTTCATCTGGTATAATGAATCATTTAACACCAATGCTTCCTTACTAACTTATCTGTCTGGATGTATCCATGGATGTAAGTGGGGGAGTAAAGTCCCTACTATTATTGTCTTGCTGTCTATTGCTCCCTTTAGGTCAATATTTGCTTAATAATTAGGTGTTTCATGTTTGGTACATAAATATTTACAAATGTTATATTCTCTTGTTGGATTAGCCTTTTCCTATGAAGGTCTCACACTTCTTTTGTTGGGTTGATTTTTAGTACCTTAAGACTTGTAATGCTAGTAAAAGTGGGTTCCTTTAGAAATTATGTTTTCTAAATTTTTATTGTACGTAGGGACATGTTTATCTGATTATACAGCTAACCCCCTTGATAGATGTTCTTAGTAATTGCATAGGTATTTTGTTGCAGCATTGGCTAGGATCTCCAGTACAACAATGAACAGACATGTTGATAGTGAGATCCGTACCTTGTTATGATTTTAAAGGAAATGCTTTGGATAGTTACCATTAAGTACAATGTTTGCATAGGATTTTGGAAAGTAATCTTTATCAGATTAAGGAAGTTTTCAATTTCTGGTCAACTAATACTTTTTTGAAATAAAAATTGTGAATGGATGTTGTATTTTTAACAAAGGCCTTTCTGAACACGGAGTTATGTGGTGTTCCTCCTTTAATCTGTTAATGTGCATTCAGGAGAGGGTAGGCCATGTTGTGGAAATTTATAAACCCTGAAGTTTCTTAGCACAAGTTCGTTTTTTATCCATGTGGTCCAGTGTGGGTAGTCTCTGAGCTTTCTCCGCCTGGGGCTCTGTCATGTCAGCCCCTGGAATCTGTCATGGCGGGGAAGGAGTGAGCATGGGAAGCTGCAAACCCATTGCTAAGTCCCCAGCCCAAGGTGACACAGGTCTGCTCCTCAGATCTCACGAGCCTGCCTGCAAGGGGCTGGGAAGCAGCTTCCTTGTTCTCAGGAAGACGTGCACGAGGCGGGGCACCCAGATGGGGGCCTAGCATATGGGGTCAAGTAACGTTTACCAATTTACTGATGTTGGTCCATCCTTGCACTTGAGAACAAGCCCGATTTAGGGAGTATTGGGGTTGCTAAGATTACTTCAGAATTTTGACATCAGTATTTGTCTGTCATTTCCTTGAACTGCCCTCATCTGGATTTGGTGACAAGGTTGTATTCCACTCATAAAATGAGTTGAGAAGCATTTCCCTTCTGTTCTCAGGGGTGTTCGTGTAAGACTGAAGCTACCTATTTCACACAAATTACCTGTTCAGCCTGTTTGCACCTGATGTTTGTGAGTGGCTTTCAAACCAGATTTAATTTAATGTCAAGTACCTCTTCTTTGTAGCACTTATCATGGTTGTAATATTTCACTTGTGTGAATTTTAAATTAAGAGGACTGAATGAGGTCAAGCTGTTTGTAAAGTGCTCGGTACCCAATACCTGCTCAGTAAATAATGACAGTGGCACCAGCCACCAGACACTGTTCCAGGGATTAACTCGCTGAGCCTTCAGAGACCTTATGAGGTAGAAGCTGGTGTTACCCCCACTTCTAGCTGGAGAAACTGGGGAACAGAGAAGGGACCACTCACCCAAGGTCATTTGGCTCATCAGCTGCAGAGCCTGGTCCAAAGAAAGGCCCCATTAGCCAAGGGCCACATTCCTCCAGGGCGTCCCCAGCAAACGCAGGGCTAGAATGACCCTAACCCCACCTCGCCTGCTTCCTAATAACGCAGCACCAGTGACCAACGGAACGAGTATGTGGGGTCTGCCTCTCATCCTGCTGGGGGGACACCAGATGGCCACTGCACCGGAAGCCTAGCCTTGTGCCACCCATGGTTGGACCTGGATGGGCCTCCAAGGTCACTGGTAAAGCATGCAGAGTCCTAGGCCCCTGGGGGGGCTCCTCCAGGGGTGGGGGCGGGAGCTGGCCTTCTAAAAGGAGTTGGTGTGGGGACACATTGTCTTCTGCCAGAGCCACCCCAGCAGCAGGCAGTGGATCTGAGACACGCGACCCTCAGTGCACCAGGAGCCCTGTCCGGGAGGAGGAGGAGGCTGCTTGAACTGTCACTCAGACACATGTGGTGCGTGTGCACACATACATAGGCGGCTGCGACTTTCATCTGTATTTATTTTTCTTTCATATAAAAGTTACAGGTGTGAAATGTCTGCAGGAAGATGCCACTATCAGCCAGGTTAGTGGGGGATATATATTACAATGTAACATTGGGGAGGCGTGGGGCCAGTGGAGGGAGGTGCTTCTCAGAATTGGGGTTCAGTTCAGACATGGCACGTGCCTGCCCTCCCCCTGGCTCCACCCCACCTGCAGGAAAGCCCCGGCTCTCTCTGCAGGGAACCAAATTGTCCTGATGGCGCCTGTCTGTCTTACAGACCCACTCTCACCCCCTGCCCCCACGACAGACAAATCACGGCCACGCTGTAACAGCTCTGGGTTCAGTAACTCTCAGAGCCAGGAGGCTTTTCAGGAGGCGCGGGGTGGGGCCGCCTGTCAGCCAATAAGTTAAAACACACACTGCACCTGCTGTCCTCACGCAGGGGTCACCAGACACGCTGGCCCCTCATCTACCCGCACTGCTCGCTTGGTGCCTGGCACCTCTGCTCAGACCACTGAGGGCTCCCGGAGGGGGCGGGTGGGCAGGGCTGGGGGGTGATGTGTAGGCGCAGGGTCTGTTGTGAACTGAGGGAGGCGTCGCGCCCACCCACCCTATCCAGCTCATGGCTGAGATCAAGGCGGACAGGCGGCAGACACGGTCCCTCCGCCAGCGGCTGGCTTTCTGAGGCTGTTTGTCTTTGCCTATGCTAGGGAGGGAGGTCCCCGGGGGCTCTGAACGCAGGGGAAACGCCAGCTCCCACAACCCACGGGCCTGAGCGCACAGCGGCCCCCGAGCACACACAGCAGCATTCAACAGAGCTGGGCGAGGCCGCGAGAGGACTGAAATGAGAGGACTTTGAAAACCAGGCACAAGCTAAAACCCAGCCCCACACACACTACTGTTACTAAACAGTGACTCTGCACACACACACTCCTTAAATAATAAAGTGACGTGTTCCGGCCGGCCACCGCAGCATCGCCAGCAGGGGGGCCGTAACTGACATTTCATAGACTTCTCCCCTCTAGGTACAGGACAAACGAAAGGAAACGGCCCAGCCCAGATTTTCTTCTTGATAAAAGCTGCTCAAAAACCCACGAAGGACTCAAAAGTGACAGGGTTGTTTTTTAAAAGAAAACCTAAGTAAAAGACGTTGCCTGCTACTGTTCCTCTTGGTTCTGGGCTAAGTGCAGTGAGGTCCTGGTGGTTGCTGGACCGAGTCCCAACCCCAGAAATGAGCGCTCCACTCTGCACAACAGGACGTGGGGACAGCCGTCCAGGTTCTGCCGGGTACCCTGCCCGCAGGCCCACGTCTGGGCTGGCACGGAGCCCAGAGGGTGTGGGAGGCTCTAGCCGGGCACCCCTGTGTGCGGGGGAGCCCTACAGGCCCCACCTAGATTGTCGACCTCAGTAGCAAGAGTGCGTTTGAACAAGGATGGCAAGAGCACCTGCTCCTAAAGACGCTTTCCCGAGGAGACAGCCGGCCGCGTGGTGGGGCGTGGCCTCGGGGGTGACAGCACTGGTAGGCAGGTCTGATGAGCAAGAGAAGGAGCCCCTCCTTGTCCCCCTGGAGCAAGACAGGCGGTGAGCCCGTGGGGCGGGAGGGGACCGGAGATGGAGTTTAAGGCACACAGCAAGCGACAGAGGAGGGGGGCTGCCGGCCTCCCCCAGGACAGAAATGCCCTCCCCCCGCCTCCCCTCTCTGGCCCAGCTCAGGGAAAGCGAATCTCGCGGATGGTCGCATCCTCCCTTGCCCCCCGTCTCCTTCCCAGCTCCCCACAACACTAGGTGATGGGGAGTGCCACCCGGGGGGTGGGGTGGGGGGATGAAGGGACCACAAGATGGCGCAGGATGTTAGTCACTGCTTGTGGCCCGGGTGCCGGCAGGCAGCAGCCAGTGTGAGGGCCAGCACCGTGCCAGGGGCGCCGGCTCCGGGGCTGCTGAAGGCCACCTGTCGTACCTCTCTGGGCCATTTGAGCAGCTCTCTCCTCCACTTTACAAAGCAGGGCTGGGGAGGTAAACGAGCCTCCCCCAGCCTCCTGGGCTCTCAGCCCACTCAACTACATGTCCCCTTTATTTAAGGTCACCCCCAAAAGGGTTCTCGAGCCTCCACTCGTGTGTCATTTCAGCAGACCCAGGGAGGGGTGAAGGGTCCCGCCGTCCCTTGGTTTGCCGATGACATACGTCTCTGTGTGGCTCCCAGGCTGCAGGGGTGGCGGGAGGGGCGAGGGGAAGACAAGGGAAAGCAGAAACCAAAACTGAAAGAAAACCACTGGGTCACGAGTCAGCACCAAGACCTGCCTGCTGGCTCCCTGCGGGCGGTGGCGAGGCCGCTGCTGCCCGGCGGGGCCTGTTGCTCTGAGGCCGGATGCTCGCTGCCGCCACGTAACAGGTCCGAAGTCCCTTCCACTCTCAGAGGCCCCGAGCCTCTCAGCCTTCTCCTCGCTCGTGGCGCCCGCTCCTAGGTCTTCTCTTCCCGGTCTGTTTTCCTCCTTGTTATGTTCCTGGGTTTGATTTTCAGAGAGAGTTCCCATAGGGCCTCCTCGGCCAGGTGGTCACTGAAGTCGTTGAAGAAGTTTATGATGTCATCATTTCTCCGGATGTCGTAATGCCTGGTGGGGGGAGAACAGCCCGTGACCTCTGGAGGTGACACATGCACTGTCGCAGCAAACCAACACAGCAGGGGCTACTGCCGCCTGTGCCCCAGGGCAGGTCCGCAGAGCGCAAGTGACCCTAAGGTGTGCCCTCTGCTCCGTCAACGTCTGCCGGAGGAGCACCCCTGCGGCCGGGCTCCCCACAGGCGTCTGGAGGAGACCTCGCTCCTGGGGCCGCTCCTGTGGGTGGGCTCTGCTGACTGGGCCCACCCTCACTGCCCTGGAGTCAGGTGGGCCAGGGCTGGCCAGCCTCCTCCTTACGGCAAGACATGTGAAGCAGGGAGGATGAGCTGGGTGCAGGCCATGGGCCACTCTGTCCAGACCCTGATGTGCATGTCCTGTCATGACAGACTAAAAGGGCACCTGGTGCTTTGTCACCTGCCCGCTCCAGTCAGGTCCCGGGGGGCCGTGGGTTCAGAAGGCCCCGCCCCCGCCCCCCAGGGGCAGCACTCACGCCTGCTGGAAGCACCGCATGCTGTCCAGGATGTTGAACTGCTGCCACCGTTTGGAAAAATTCACCTTCCCGTCAATGTAGTCTGGATTTCCCAGGTGCACGAAGGTGAGGTCCTGCAGGATGAGCCCCCTGGGATGACGGAGAAGCCCAGTTACCCTCCGGGGAGTGACTTGGAAGGTGGCAGGTGCACGTCCCAGTCGGTGGAGCCAGCAGACGAGCAGTGCCCGGCCAGGCCCCAGCCTGTGGGCTGTGCCCGAGCAGCTCCCAGGACCGCGAGCACTGCTGAGGCGTGTGTGTTTCTTCCAGTGGGACTCCCAACGCCCAGACTCTGCTCAGGCCTGGGGGCCTTGGATGCCCCACTGCCAAGACCCTTCAGTGACTGTCCCGGCCTGCAGGGGACAGTCCGGGAACTGACTGCTGCAGTGAAAGCCTGCAGAGCTGTGGGTCTGCTGATGTAAAATTAATAAATTTCACAGGGAAAGACAACAAAACCCCAAACGGGGGGTAGGAGACAGATCCCCTCTGTGTTAACAGGTGCTTCTAGATACAGATGATCAGCGATTGGGTGCGTCTTCCACCCAGGGAGGGCCAGCGAGGGGGCCCCGCCAACCCCCCAGAGGCCTGTGGCAAAGTGCATTTGCGCCGAGTGAAGCAGAAAGGCTAGGAAGCAGGGAGAGGGCGTGGCCGCGCGACCTGTGTGTCTGAGGGAGGTCCCACCACACATTCAGCCCGGGACAGGGCCAGCTCTGCCACCCCTCTGGAGACGTCTGAGGTCCACGAGCACACTAGGGCTCTGATAAGACCTGCCACTAACAGCCTTTCCGGCTTTGATTCTCGCGTGACTTTCCACAGTGTGTGACCTGGGGACCCTTGCCCAGGAAACACCTGTTTACTCCATGCAGGGACATGCTCTGAGCTTCCTGATGCCAGGTGCTCTCAGGTCCCTCAGGTGGCTGCATATGCAGCCAGCTGTGAGGACTGCTGGGTGCAGCATGATGCCACTGGCGGGGACAGGGGAGCCACCATCTGTCCGCACGCCTGAACGTGCTGGCGGATCAGGGAAGGAAACTGCAGGACTGGGAGCTGGGGAAGAGAACCGTTTTCCCTGGACCCCTCTTTTCTGCTTAATGGTAAAACGTACTTGTTGTCACACAGCGTGAAGTTAAAACAGAAATACAAACGTCTTAGCTGGAAACCCTGAAGTGAGGGTTTCTCTCAGGGAGCCCACATATCCCCAGGGCAAGTGAGGGACAAACCCAGGCAGTGCTTCTACTCACAGGTACGGGATGCAGGGCGGCTCCACGTCCGACAGGGCGGCCCGGTAGGCGCGGAAGGAGGACGAGCTGTCGATCAGCGTGCAGTACTCAGCCAGGCCCTGGCGGGGGGACGCAGTCTGTGAGCCCTGGCCCCTTCTCGCCAGCCAGCTCATCACCCACCCTCTGCCAACGCTCGAGGGCACCCACACATACGAGCCCATAGCCAGCCCCGGGGTCTGGGGACAAATGGCCCACGGGGCTGTGTGCCTGTTCGGGACTGTGTCTCTTCCTGCTCTGCCCACCGTGTGGACAGGACCCGGAGCCTGGGCTGCTGCTGGCTCTGCCTCACCGCGGCCCAAGCGCACACACCGCCCGTGTCACTTCCCACTCCGCCTGCGCCCTCCTTCGCTCCTCACTGTTCTCAAGGCAGAGTCCGCCAGGGCTGGAGGGTGACCTCGCCTCACAGCTCCTGCACGCAGTGTGGAGTCCTGCCTAGGGGACTCAGTGGACCCTGCCCCGCCTGGAACGCCATTCGCCTGCCTCTGCCTGTTAGGCCCCTCACCCTAATGGGTCACCTCCTCCAAGGAGCCTTCCTGCCTCCTCAGAATCTCTCATGCTTTCCTGGAGTGACAGTGTGAAATGTCCCACTTCTCCAAACAACCTGTTTTAAGACTGCCCCTTATGTCACCCTGGGAGATGGTCCTCGGGTGGCCCAGTCGATGCTCAGCCCCGGGACCGGGCCTCCCTTCTGAACAGCTCCCACACAAAGGTAAAGGTCCAATTCCCCGCCAGGGCCCCCCGAGGCCTGTGGGATCAGAGCTGGTCCCCTCCACAGTGATGTGGCCGTGCTGGCCTGTCCTGCTGGTCAAGGGTGCCACGCTCCCACCTGCCCCACCTCTGTGGCTCCGTGCACGCCTCTGTCCCCTCTGATGGGAATTCCACCCCCGTCCCCAGAAGCTCACCCTACTCAGGTCTTGCTGTGACCCACCTTCTCCGGGGCCTCCCTGACCCGTGTGACCGCGTGGTCAGCTCCCCATTCCTTCCCCTTTGGCACTTACTCCGAAGGAATCTGCCCAGTGAGCTGCTCACAGTCCACCCCCAGTGCCTAATGTGGCCCCAGCCCAAAGTAACCCGTCTAGAAGCGTGAGCTGAAGGAAGGGGCCGGTGAGGCAGGGACCGCAGCACAGGCCTGTGGGGCAGGAGGCAGACACTGTGACAGAACGACCGCAGCACCAACCACCAAGCCCCCTCGGCCCAACGACGAGATCAGAGACAGGAAACTAAGGTGGGTGGGCTGTCCCAGCCCCACAGCAGGTTGGCGGCAGAGCAGGGACCCCAGCCCAGGTCTCCGTGCCTGTCCCAAACGTGTCCTGTCACAGCCGCTCACCTCCGAGGTCTGCTTCTGCCACTCTAGCCTGCGGATGGGCGCCGAGTCCAGCGCCGAGAGGATGGCCAGGTAGGAGTTGAAGTTGTTGAGCTTCCGTAAATGCTGCAGGGAGGCAGGGAGGCCGTGAGGGCAGGCGCAGGGCGGCCCGGGCTGCCCGCCTCCTGGGGGAGCGCCTGAAGGAGTGAGGGCTACGCTTACCTTCATGATCTTGATGAACTTCAAGAGCAGCCGTTCCCTGTCCTGGGCCTTTTCCTGTAACATGATTATTGACCGGACCCTGCACGGACCAAGGGGAAGAGGAGACGGCTGAGCCGACCGGTCCTCCTCAGGCCCCTGGATGGCCCGGTGGAGAAGGGACATGGACACCAACCAGCTGGCCACGAGCCCACGCCTACCACATGCCCCAGGCTTGCAGGGCACCAAGCGTGGTCCTCGTCTCTGCTCTCAAGGAGCTCAGGGCACCCCTGGGGCAGGCAAAGGACCACAATGAGATCTGGTGGTCGGTGCCAACACCAGGTTGGGGACCTGTGACCACGCAGACGGGGACTTTGGAGGATCAAAGCAGAGCCTTCCTGACCCCGAGCACCACTGAGGCTGGACACCAGCTCAAGAGACGAGCAGGTGTGTGGGTTAAGGGGCCATCTCGCCGGACACGAGGAGGGCACCTGCAGGACCTCGGCAGCGCCGAAGCCTCGGCCAAAGGCCAGCCTCACACGAGGCCCTCACAGGCCTCCACCCTGTGCTTTCCCAGCAGCCACTGCCAGTCACTCGGAGGAAGTGCCACTCATGCTTTTCCACTGCTAACCCAGTAAGGGCGCCTGCAGATATGCCTTGGGGACTGAGGCTCTGCAGGCCCCCCACCACAGGCAGCCACCCAGGGGTGTTCCTGGAGCCTTCTGTGCCCAGCAAGGGGGTGGGTCTGGGCCATGTGCACGTCCGTCACCCGAGAAACGCCACGTCCTGCTGGCTCGCTACCTGAGCACTGGCTGTGCCGAGAAAGAAGGGAGTGGCCTGGATTCCTCTCCACCAGGCACCGTGGGGCGCGTGGAAATGCGACGCCCCCCGCTCCCCATGGGATGGTTCTCCCCCTTGGCAGCGGTGGACTGTGTGTAGGGTGGGGCTGGCCAGTCGAGCCTGCACGCTGCCACCCTCCAATCATCCTCTGGATCCCGAGAGGCTGTGGCACTCCTATGTCATTGTGAAGAACCGAGAGCTCTGCTACGTATTAGAAACACATGTGAGCTCCATGTCACTTTAAGAATTAGAGGCTAGGGCTGGGCGAGTGGCGCGATGGTTAAGAGCTGGCTTGGGACGCCAGAGGGCCCCGGTTCGGATCCCACATATGAGGGCCAGTGACACTGCCCTCTACAGCTAAGATGCTGAACAACAGCTCAACCTGGAGCTGGGCTGCCATGAGTCGCTGGCAATAGCGTAGGCTGCAGCCCCTGCTGCAGTGGGTTGCCATGGGCTACCGTGTGTAGCCAGCAGCCAGTGTGAGCGGCCAGCAGCCGCAGTGAGCGGCCGTCCAGAAGCCGGCGACTGATCTGCCTCACCCGGGAAGAGCACAATGATGGTGCCAAACTTGGGCCAGTGAAGCAACGTCCTCCACAACTAGACTGAAGAAGAAAACGACAGCAACTTGTGTGTTCCCCTTCCCCCAATTCCCCAGCGCTGTTCCTATCCCCCAATTACCCAATAAAAATCTTTAAAAAAAAAAGAATTAGAGGCTACATCAAGGTATTAACAGGACCCACTCCTTGGCTGTTCTTCTCTCTCAGGCACAGTCAATGTCAGTGTCAGCCCTGAGCCGCTTACCAGCAGTGGGGAGATCAGCAACGCCCAGTGAAGGATGGAAAACGCCCCTCCCTGGCCACCACCCACAGCAGAGCCCGCGCAGGTGTGTGGCCGTGACAACCGGGGTGCGCCCTGCAGCCCCCTCTCACCAGTAGGACATGTTGTTGAAGTGCTCCGTGAACTGGGTCAAGTTGGGGCTCTTCTCCTCATTCTGCTCTTTTGCCCAAAGCAAAACCTCAGGAATCTGGAAAAGGAAGTAGACAGGATGGAGCTGGAGCCCTCGGGCTTTCCTGCGATGGGCCAGTTCCTCTCATCCAGGGACAGGCCACAGTGGCTCACCCAGGGCGGGGGCAGCCCTCCCCCAGCCCCCGCTCAGCGCCGTACCTCTATTTTATAAAACAGCTCGGCATCTAGCAGTGTCAGCTGCTCAGCTATTTCATGGCTGTGGAAGTCATGCAAGGTCCCCGGCCTGGAAGACAGAAGCGAGAGCCGAGAGGTGAGTGGGCAGGCGCCGCCCTGCAGGCCTCGGCACTGGGGACACTGGAGGGGCAGGCGCCCGGCCTGGCTTCACGGCAGCAGCACGCAGGCCACCAAGCTGGTTGGCGGCAGGTCAGGATCAGACCATGCTCCTCCCTGGGACCACGGTGGCTGCTTCCCTGTCCTGCCTCTGCCAGGAGGGTCCCCTCATGAGCCCAGGGACAGCTCAGCTACCCAGAACTCATTGCCTGACCCTGCTTCCAGGGCCCAGTGGGAACAGAGATGATGCCCTAGGAACGAAGGCCGAGCACTCACTAACAAGCAGGCGGTAAACGAACACACGTCTACGGCGGGAGCAGAGGGGCGGGCAACAGGGCGGAACCTGTGTACAGGTTTGGGAGCACTCAGGACTGCACAGCAGGCTGGGCGAGAATTAACAGCCGCCATGTGAGTGCTGGGAAGAAAGTAAGAGCTGACTGCAGCCCGAAACACGCTCGTCTGTCTCTGTCCTGGTTAAGCCCCGTACATCCTGGTGCCCCACTTCCTCGTCACACAACGTAACCTGGAGGAGGCCCAGCTCCCAAGGAACCTGCTGGGCTCCCAGAGGCACCTTGTCACTGGGTCTGGCAGAACCAGGACGGTAGGCTGCAAGGCTGGGAGGTGCTACGGGGACATGGGAGGCAGAGGCAGGGGCTGGCGAAGCCACGGACGGATGGCTGGCGGCTCACCTGGCTGCTACGCCCCTGGCTGCTAGGGGCTGGTCGGAGCTGGCACACCTGAGCAGCTTCTTCTGGTCCACCTTGTCCAGGATGTTCTTCCGGAGCACGCGGGCCAGGCTCAGCTCCCCGTTGCACACCAGGCGGAAGACCAGATCCATCAGCAGCTTCAAGATCTCGTCCGTCAGCTCCACGAGGCTAAAGGGCCAAGGCCACAAGGTGAGGGCAGCACCCAGGACAGGAGGGACTGACACCACTGGGTCCAAAGCCACCTTGGGACACCCCAGGCCACGTGGCCTCCACCAGCAGGGCTGGGAAACCTCTTATGGGAAGAGCGAGAGGAAAGGCCTTGGGACGGCTGCCTGGATCCGCACAAGTGCCAAGAGTGGCCCCACTGGTAACGAGTGGCCACCTTTCTCCCAGCAAACGTTTGCTGGCACGGGACAGGCACCGGGGACCACGCCGGGGCCTGGGCCATGGAAGCAAGTCTCGCCTGGAAGAGCTTCTGGGTCCGTGGGGTGAGAAGTCACCAAGAGGTCCTGGACCCTCAGACTAAACGCCCCAGAGCTTCCCCTGCACAGCACTCAGCTCTCCTGGAGGCTTCACCACTGCAGTCATTGTCTCAGGCTGCCCTTCCCCCCAGAAGGAACTGACTCAGGCTGCTACCCCAAAGGGAAACGCCTTGAAGGCAGGGTCTGGGAGGCTTCCTCCTCCAACCAGGAGAGGCCCTGGCTGGATGTGCTTTTGTTCAGTGAAAGCACGCCAGGGGGAGGCAGGGGGCCCCACCCTGGTGGCTGACAGCACAGCCCGCTGTGGACCAGGGCTGGCCTAAGGGGCCGGGTCACTTCCCCCAGGGGTCAGGTTAAAGCAGGAAGGCGCGAGCTGGTCCAGGGCTGTGGCCAGGCTCTGTGGGCATACACCCCAGGGACACCCCAGCCCCGGCGGGGCCGCGCGCTCCCGGAGGCACTCACCAGAGCTCGTCCACCACCCGCACCAGCACGAAGAACGTGTTCTTGCTGACGCGCTTCTTGAACGTGTCGGCGAAGGGAGAGAACTTCTCGTACGTGGAGCACAGGTTAAAGAAACAGATATGTCACACGGGCAGGGACGCGTGACGTGAGCGGGAGGGCTGCCTCCTTCCAGCTACCATTTCCTGAGTGCTGACAGGGTGCCAGTAAACCTGAGGGCCAGGGCTCAGGGAGGGCGCAGGGCTGGTGCCGGGCAACAGGGCCGCCAAGCAGGATTCAGCCGGACGCCTGCCTTCTCCACCCTCTCCCACCTGCGAACAGTCCCCATGCACCGCCCAGGCCTGCCTTCCTGGCAGTTCAATCCGAGGTTCCTGTCACTTCCTGAGACGCCGAGGACTGCCCTGCTGAGTTTCACACAGAGCGGTGGTCACAAACCACATGCACTAACCCACGCCCGCTCCTGGGAAGGTGCAAAGCAGAAGTGACTTCCTCCTCTCTTGACATGAGTTCCCCTCCGTCTTCCCACGCTTCAGGGGCCACCTGAGGCCACCTTCTCCTTCCCCACAGCAGCCCTTCTCAAACACCCAACCACCCCCAGCTCCTCCGGAGGCCATGGTTCCTGCAGTCCTCGTTCACATCAACTCCCCAGACGCCTCTCCACTCCATCCTGCCTGCCGCCTAGCAGTCTGTGAGCGCTCAGAAGGGAGCCAGGCACCAGGGCCTGCAGCACAGAGGGCTCACTAGCCAGCTGCAGCTTTTCCATTAGCACACCGGAAGTGGCTGAGCAGGGGCAGTGATGAGAAGCCCAGCTCTGGGGTCAGAGGCGTGTGTGGTTGCCGCTCTCTCACCAAACAGCCACGTGGGTCACTTAGTCTCCCTGGGCCTATTTCCTTAAACACATACAAAAAAGAACATAGCTGCACCGTCTGTAACGCGGTAAGAGCCTGGACGTGAAACAGGTGGCTAGCTGGGTGGGGCGACACGCGCACATGCTCACGAGCAGCCTGCCCGACGCTGGCAAGTCCTCCATCAGTGTGAGTTACTGTCCTTTGCAGAGCCAGGCCTGCGGGTGACTGTGAGGCTGGGGGCCATGGGGCAGAGGGAGAGTGGCAGGCGGGGTCTGGAGGCGACCCACAGGACACACAGAAAGGGACGGGAGAGAGCTGGGACTCTGCATTTCCTGCCCCAGCGACAGCAGCTGTCCAGCAGATGGCAGTCATGGGCTGTGATGTGGGGAGGTGGCCAAGGACCAGGGGACCCTGGGCTGGCCCACTTTGGGGAGCAGCAGCTTCAGGCTAGCCTTGGCTAGATGGGCAGGTTTGGACTTGACAAAGAGGCATCAAGAGTGGGGCCTTCTAGGCCCCGGGGTGTCCCCAAGCCGCCACTGCATGCAGCAACATGTGAAAGGGCCAGCTCGCGGAGCAGATGCAGGCAACGGGCAGGAGCCAAGTCTGTCGTGAACGAGCTTTCCGCCCACGGCCGGGTGCCTGCCATCAGGCGGAGTGCCCGTGCCTGCCCGAAGGCTGTTCATCTTGGTTCCCGCAGGCCCCACACCCTTCGTACCTCTGCACCCATCCCGTCAACGCCCTGGAGCTCAGCCCAGAAGCTGCAGGTGCCAACAACCTGGGCTCTGCAGGGGCCTGCACATTCCCGCCTTCTCAAGGCACGTCAAGTCCTCCTAATTCTGGTTCAGGATCACTCAGTGATCACAACTGCCGTCAGGCGGTACATCCCTGTTCCCGGCGCCTCGCAGACTCTCAGCCCTTTCACACAAGGGGAAGAGGCTCAGAGGGGACGCCCTGCCTGAGGCCCAGAGCTAGGACACGGCCGAGCAGGACTGAGCAGCTCCACCCCTGCGGCCCACCACGGCCACGTGCTCCCTGCGGGACGGCTGTGTGCGCGCGGTGTGGGGCCGCGCTGGGGGCCGGGAAGGATATCTGTACTGCAGCTTCTTGATGAGCTCCTCAGGGGTGATGAAGGTCCTGTAGGTGGTCAGGAAGGCCTCACAGTACAACACCAGATCTAGAGGGAAGGGCAGTGGTTAGTGACGCCCGCCACTGGCCAAGGGCGAAGACGGGCCGCAGGCCTGTGGCAAGTAGGTGCCTTGTGTTAGATGCAGAGCTTCCTGTCTGTGCCAAGACTTGGTGGCCATCATGGGCAGAGACGACTCGTCAGCAGGACTCTGAAGCTAAATCACAGGTAATACTTTTAGATGGCAGGGCCCAGAAAAAAAAAATCTTGGTAATTTCCACGTACGGAGACCTAAGACAAGGTTGAAGAGGCCGAGCTCGGCACCCTGCTAGAACATGCCAGTGGGCACACTTGGTGGTAAGGGAAGGGTCAGGCCAACTAGGAGGGGCGTCGGGGGCAAGCGGGCTGGCAGCCCCCACCCATGACCGCCCTTTCCCTCTGGAGGGGCTGGTTCTAGCCAGGGACTCTGACCTTCCCAGAATCACAAGAACCCCATTTATTTGCAGTTGGGGCGCACCCTCCTAACCACGTCCTCTTTCACACCAAAGAAAAAAGAAGTGGAATATTTTACATGCAGGACGCTCCCCAAGACAAAGGACCTGCCGGGCCTGGGAACTTCAGAGCTATTTGGAGCTGGAGCTGAGGATGCGAGGCCCGATTTAGCTGCAAAAGTGTGCTCCTCACTGCGAGGCGGGGCGCCGTGTGCACACACATGAATTTTCTTTTGTGGACACAGACCGCCTTCCCCTATCTTTCCTCATTCACCTCCCCAGCTCTCTGGGTGGAAGGACCTCAGGGGTCCCCACTTCTCCAGCTAAGCAGTGCAAGCTTGGCTGACCTCTGCTCTTGTGATCACCTCCTGGGATAAAGGAGAGGAAAAGCAATGCCCACTCCTGCATCTGGGGTTTGCATGGGGAAGAGTGCTGAGCTGGAGAGCAGGTGTCACGAGGGAGGCTCAAAGGTGGGATTTATGGCCAGGTTTCACGGCATCATGCTCAGGCTTCTCCCCGGATCCCCAAGCTCGCTGTCAAGTTTGGGCTTTTGTTCAGAGGGACCGGGCAACGAAGCAGACGGGTACAACACAAGCCAACGCCTGCTTGTGGAAGGCTGAATCCACGTCGCACACCTGAGCTGCGGGGCCTCCTGGTCCAAAGCCACCTCTGGAGTGTGCTGTGTGGCCCAGGGCCTCTGCCTCAACAGCTCATCCCAGGTACAAGAGACTCTGGTTCCCTGGGGCCTCAAACTCTGTCCATTAATAAAATCCAGCAGAAGCCAGCTGCCCGCAGATGTCCTCTGCCAGGTGCAGTCGGCACAGACTGGAAGGTTCTCGGGCTGCCCTGGCTACGGGGCGCCCTCTGGCCTTGGCCACAGCTGGCTGCTCAGAGCCGAGGACTGGAGCCAGCTACCATTTCAGTCCTTTCGCTTTGGGTAAAAGGGAAACTGTTCTTCATGGCTGGCTGAGGCCGGAGCTCTGACCTGTCCGGCACTGAGAAGGGTTTACTGGAAAGCAGCAGAGCAATGGCTGCTCTAAGGACAGACGAGCACTCCCTATGTGCAGGCATGTTTCACGTTGGCCAATTCCCTCTTCACACCCACTGGGCACCATCAGCCTCCAAAAGCAGGGTCAGCTGGGGCCGCAGAGCGAGGCACGTGCCCAGTGGGACTGGCACAGCTAGGGTTTGACCTTAATGTCTCCAGGGCAGACCACACCAGGGATGAAGAAACCCCAGAGGGCAAAACAGTGGCTGTGGTGCATTTGTGGGGGCCATTTCTTCTTTTTCTCTATTTTTCAAGTTTTTTGCAATGTAAATATTATTTTTATACTACTTTTGTAATTAAAAAATTCCCCGAGTCATTCTGTCTAACATACTTTGGGAAATTGTTATAAAAACATAGTGACGTGGTGATTTATAAAAACAAAATCGGTGGATTAGGGTTTCAAGATTGGGGTGTTTTAATTCCTTCCAAGCCTTACTTTAACACCGTTGTTACACTATTCTTCTAATAATTTTTAAAAATGTGGAAAGCAGTGAGGGGAGAGGCACGGGCACCACCCCCCTGCCCCGTCCCCAAAGTCCTGGCACCTTCCTCAGTCCCCTTGTCCTTGCAGAACACGACTTAAAGCGACAGATCTTCTGCTAGCACAGGGTCCCCCATCGGGGGTGCCCGATTCTCCAGCCCCTCAGAGGATCAGGACGCTGAGGGTCGAGAACCCCGTCCCGTGATGGCAGTGCCCCTGCTGTAGGACTGGAGGCACCCGGACAGAAACCACGCTCCCCAGGCCTCTCCCAGTGGAGTGCACAAATGGACTCATTCCATCTAGCAGTCTGGAGTAAGTCATGGGCCAGACACCAGGAAAGGCACAAAAAGCCACCCATGAGGTCTCTTACTACTATTACTACTAATACGTCATTGTTTGAGGGGCTGTCGCAGAGCACTGCTAGGTGCTGACCTCTGCCCTGGAAACCCGCCCTCCCAATGAGCTGTGGGTCCCGGGGCTCACCACCCCGCGCCAACGGAGGACACTCTCCGAGAGGGCCGAGGAGCAGGGGCCTGGCTCTGAACGAGGGTCACTGGTCCCCCAGAGTGGGCTCTCCCTACGGTGACCCAGCAGCACGGCCATCCCAACATGCTAAGGGCTGGCGGAGAGGACAGGAGAGGGCAGGGGACTTTGGCAGGACGCGCTCCCACCCCAGGCTGTGACAGACGAGCCCCTGAAGGGGTGCTGCCTTACCTTTCCTGTCCGTCTCGGTGGCATGGACAAGCAGGATGTCCCCAGATCCCCCGCGGACGTCTGGTCCGTCGTCACCCTGCAATGACATCAGCACAGGAAGGCATGAGGTGGCATGCGGCCGAGGTCACGGGCAGGGGTGGGATGAACAAGACGCTGCCTGCAAAGGCCCAGGCCCCTTTCCCTGTGCTCCCTCAGCCCGGGAATGGCGTGCCCTTCCAGCCCGCCCACCGCTCCACGCTTGGCAGAAAGGCACAGAGCAGAACTCGTCTGGGAAGTGGGGGACACCAGAGCACAGTGCTGAGGACGCCACTGGGTCAGGGGACACGGCGCCATTTCTGTTCCCATTTACCAACCTGTGGGTCAGAGGCGAGGGGAAGTTCCCACCCTGGGGACGGTCGGGCCCCATGGGGAGGCCGGCAGCAGCCTCTCCCAGGATAACCGGGGCACACAACTATCTCCAAGGATGTTCATGTTCCTAAAACTGTGGCAAGCTGCCCCCAATCTACCTCTGCTTCCCCAGGTCGAAGGACAAGTCACTTGTAATGTCACAGGTCCTTCTAGAGAGCCCTTCATAGAGAAGTGTGAAGTGTCACAAAGACATTTAATTATACCTGACACTGCTTATATGACCAACGACTGTCGCCAGCCAATTAAGGAAAAAGCCTTCTTTTTGTGGGCAAACAGAGGCTTTAACCTGTAAGTCTAGCCTGGAGCCCAACTGAACTGTCACCAGGGCCACCAGGGCCAGGAGTGGAAGCCCACGCCGTGGAGCACCAGGCCGGGCCGGGGGCCCCGACAGCCCCTGGCTACGTGATTCTGAAGGGAGCACATCCGGGCCCGGGGCCCTGTTCGCATCTGCAGCCCTCATCCTCGCAGACACTCTTGCCTCTCCAGCACCCAGTGTTCACCCTCGGGTGCCAGCGGCCTGAACACCTGGGATCTCCAGCTACGAGGGGACTGGCTACCTATACCCATGACCTGAGTTTTCAGATGAAATTTCTGGCAAGGGTCATGCACCCTCACTTCCCGCTGCACCAGAGCCAAATGCCCCAGCCCTGCCTCCTCGGCTCCTGTCTGCACCGTCCGACCGGCTCAGCCTGGTCCAGCAGCACGCAAAGGCAAATGTCTGCCTACTTGTCCGTATGTCTGTGTGCTACCATCGAGTCAGGGCCCAGGACAAGGCCACTCCCATTTTATGAAGCCACTCCTCTGTGTTTCCGGAACTGCGTGGCAGAGGAAGACGAAAGGCTCTTTCAAGCCAGCACCTCCTTCATTTGACAGGTTCGGGTGGTGTCTTTACTGACGAGACCCTCTTGCAAGGACGGCGGTAGCCTGAAATTCCTCAACAGCTGTGTGTCCCCTGCTGGGACCACCGTGCGGCTGTCCTACCAGTAACAACATAACGTCTGATGCTAATGAGCACATACAGGCCTGCGCTGAGAACCTTCTGTGGGTTTCGTTCTCACAAACCATCCGCCTGGGGCTTAGAGACGTTCTGTAACTTGCCCAAGATCACTCGCTGGACGTGTCAGAGAAGGGGGCCACTTTCACCTGGAATCCATCCAAATGTCCAGGACCTTCTAGCCTCCTGGGGGGGGCGGGGTCAGGCCTATCTGATGGGTTCAGGGTAAACAGCCCTGGCAGCCACCTGGAGGGTCAACGCCTCGCCTGGGTCTTTCTGTTGGACACGCGTCAAGGCTGCCTCCTCCTTGGAGCCCCCTCACCCTCACTGTGGGCCAGACTCTGCAGAACTAAGGCCTGCGAAGGGCTTACCTCTTGCTTGAGTGTCAGCCTTGCCATGATTTCGTTGTGGTCGATGAGGGACAGCTCGTCCACTTCCTCCTCTGGCTGAGCTGTCTCTGGAGCATCTGGTGACTTTGGGGCCCTGGAGGGAGAAGTGGTTTGTGTTGCAAGTGTCCAGCAGGCCCTGGAGGCTGGGGCAGTGCAACCCTGTGCCTGGGACCCGCTGTCAGAACCGCGCCCCTGAGCTAGGCCACCCATCACAGCTGCAGTGTGAAGCCCCCACCCCACCCCACCCCAACCCGGGAGGCCTGAGCTGTGGCCAGAAGCCAGAAGGCCAACTGGATTTCTAGCTCTGCTACTGACGAGCTGTGTGACCCTGGGACATTTCCTGTTCTTTCTGGATGATACATCTGTAAATGGAAGGGATTAAGCAAAGAGAGCAAGAAGGTTCCCCCGAGCTACTGGAGTGAGCGACGGTCTCAGTCACTCGGTTGAGGCCTGTGACACTCCAGTCAGTTGTCAAGGAGGGACAGTGACAGGCAGGCCGGGTGGGAGAGCAGGTTCCCCAAGGCTTTGCCGAGGCTACCTCTCCACGGGATTGAGGAGAAGTGTGAACCCGCAGACTGGCCCTCGTCCCGGGGTGCTGGGTCCAGCAGGAGAGACTGACATGAAAACAAGCAGGGAAAGCCCCGAGGCCTGGACAGACACGCTGAGGCTGAAAAGCTGAACAGGAGTTTGCCAGTGAAGGGGGAGGAGAGAACCCCCTAACAGAGGGAGAATGTTGGTGGCGGGGGGCATTCCACGGGGAGATGGGTGCCAGATCTGCAGGCATCTTACTTTCCCCCCGAGTTTTCTCCCACATTCCAATTTATATTTATGAATCTCACGATGGACCCTGGGAGGCACTGGCTGCCCTTGTGACAGGCCATATTTGTGACCCTAAGTTTGTGTCTTTGGTGAGACCACACAGATGGGCCAGAGCAAACCCATGCGCGGTCCTGGGAAGAACCCTCCTCAATGTCCAGCCTGTGGTTTGGCTTTTACGGAAAGAGAACATCCCATGATTGTTTCTAACCGGTCAATGTGGTCATCCTTCTGTACAGGGCCATCTGCAACTGAAAAATGGCGCTGTCCGCCCGGGGAGGCGAGAGAAGGACCCAGGAGCTGCTGTCGCCTGGCACAGATACCCTTTGCCACTAGGTGTTAAACTGGAAAACCTATCACCCTTGCTTAAGATGCAGGGAAACCCTGGCTGGCAGATGACTCAGACGGACTCAACGTGGAGCACGCAAGCCATGGCCCAGAGCAGGCGGGGGGCGGCCGTCGGCAGCAGGCCCCCAGACGTGCTTTCCAAGTTTTCTCTACCGTCTCTTGCTATTTTTGCCGCCTCTTCCACCACTTACGCTGAGGCCTGACAATGACAACTGGGTATGGTGTAGCTTTGCGCCCAGCACCAGAGGGTGCCGAACCTTGGCCTAAAGAGGGAGGAAAAGGCTGAATATATGGAGCCTTTCAGAAAGAAGGCAAAGCCATCATGAAGGTGCAGGTGGCAGTGCCCATTTGCAGGTCCAACACATGACATTTTGAAAGCGCATATTAGAGAAATTTACTACCTATTTCTAAACCTGGTCAGGTTTGACTTATGCTAACACTGAAAAATGTTACAAGAAATTAAAGAGACATACAATTATATGCAATGATGACTCCTGAATGATCGTGGTTCTTAAAAAATAAGCTATAAAGAACATTTTAGGGAGAATTAGGGGACTGACATGAGGGAATTGATTATTAATTTTCTTAGGTGTGATAATGGTATTGTAATCAGGTAGGCTTTTACAATTTTTTAGGAGGCATGCTGCAGTATTTAGGGACTAAGAGACGTCTGTAACTTACTTTCAAATGGTTTAAGAACATAATATACATGTTGTATCTAGAAACACAATAAAACGTTTTTTTGGTGGGGAGGATCTTTTACACTCCCTCATTGTTCTTGAACTTGGAAGAGGTCAAGGAAGGCTGACCTAGGACTTGAAAAACAAACAGATTGTTGTGGGCAATTTGTAAGGTGGATAATACGTGTGCAGACAATCAAGAAGTAAGGGCAGGCTGTCTGCTAGAATGAAGGCCTTTGAGGGGTGTGTCACTGGTGATTTTTCCTGTTTCTTGAACTTTTCTGTACTTTCCACATTATCTACCCTGAGGATGCTTAATTTTGAGGCTCAGAGGAAAAGGAAAGAGCATGGGCATCAGCGCCAGCAGGCCTGGTGTGCAGGCTGGCAGGGCCGCCCCGGCCGCCCCACCAGGACTGCTGCTTTCAGGGCCCTGGCCCCACGGGGTCACCTCCTACCTTTCTCCGCTGTCTCTGCTTTCCTTCCCAGGTGCACTGCTGACCGAAGAGGGGTCTCTGGGATGTCCGTCTTTCACAGCTGGTGGTTCCTGAAAAGAGAAGTCGGTGCTGGGTTTGTGACAGGCGCCATGCTGGGGCCGGTCTGCTTTCCCAGCGTTCCTGCCTGCAAGTGGCTTTGGAGTGTAAATTCCTACGGAGCAATCTGAGATGTGAACAAGTTACCCGGGAACAAGGTTCATTACACAGGAAGCACAAGGCAGGCCCTCTTCAGACTAGCGTCTTGCCTCTGGGAAAAGTAAAAGGTGCTACTACATATAACGTGTCAGCTGCCAGCTGAGATGAAGCCATCCCCACCACCTTCTGGAAGAAAGGATGTCCCAGTCGCTACCACTCTGCAAACTTGGCCAAGCCCTGTGCTAAGGGGCTTGCACGCACGCCTCTTCTCGCCTGGCTCATACCGAGACCCTGCCCGTTAGCTGGCATCATGTCCATTCACACACAAAGAAGCAGGGGCTGGGAGGAGTCAAGGGCCCTGCCAAGACACACAGCTCGAAGGCTGCAGCTTCGATTCGCACCTGGGCTGCCCACCTCCCAAACCTGTGCCCTTAGCGCTGGGCCCTGCCACTGGGCAGCCGGACTCCGTGACTTCCTAGTAAAAACAGTCGTCAGGGCTGCAGAGCTCGGCAGCCTCCCAGTTACGCTTCCAAAAGGCCTGGCTGCTCATGCGCAGAGGTGCAGCCTCCCTCGCCTCTGGCGGCCTGGCTACTTCCTGGGGATCTGGGCCCACACCACTGGGTGACAGCACAGCGCTCCGGCATCCCTGGTCTGCCACCGAGGCCACGACAGAAAATGGGGCCAGCAAGACTACATGCGCCATCGTCATGGAGAGTATCTGAAGTCAGCACTGACCATGGTCACGGGTACGGGGGTCACGGGTGGCCAGCCCAGGATGCACTCGTGTGCAGAGGCTAAACTGGGTGTTGCCGGGGGGCAGAGGTCACCCGAGGGCACAGGTGAGGTGGGAGCTCCAGGGAGAAATAGCTCAGCTCCCCACACAGGCTCAAATCTGGAGTGAAGCCCACGTCTCATGACTTGCTAACACCTGAAGTGGGGCTTGTCTGGTGCCGACGTCTAGGGTCCTGTGGGGACCCCTCCTGCGGGGCTGTCTTAACAGCAGTGACTACGCTTTTCACAGGCCGGACCCTTCGACTTGATTACCACGGAGGACTCGAGTCCTCGTGGCACCTCCCTCAAGGACACGTCCCACTCAGGATGGTGGGGGGAGTTGTTTTTGAGGCTTTTGGACTTGCTCACGTTTTGCTGCAGCAAAACCCGGAGAGCTGACTGCTCGACAGAACTGCTGACCCTCAACTGTTACCCAGAGTACACAAGGGTGACAGTGTCAGGTAGTTGTCCATGATCTCAGGACAGAGGTGTGTGGGCACCCAGGAGGGGCTAGCTGCACCCACAGCTTCCTGGGAAGCAGTTAGCAGAGGGGAGGAGGGACATGCTGGGGAGGGCGTCAGCACCAGAAGATGGGGCAGGGAGGGATTCCGGAGAGCACCCCATACATGGCCACGCCACCAGCAGGCTGCTCCCTAGATGTCCAGAAGACCCACCGGCCAGGCACAAGAAGCACCACACGCACCAAAGCAAAAGCGAAGGGAAGACCTCCACCAGAAGCCATGTCCTCTCCCCATGGAGCCGCGCTGGCTCTGGCCAGGCTGCGGGGCCCAGTCTGCTAGCGACCGGGAGGCTCAGGCAGATAGAAGCCGGCCGAGCCCTGCAGGCCCGGCCACACGCACGAGGCAGCCCCGGGCTTACTTACTCCTCGAGACTCAGCCAGCTCCTCGCTGCTGTGGCCAGAGGAATACAGATTGACGTATTCACCCTCACCAGCCTCCTCACTGGCAGTTTCACTCTGGGGGAGACAGGACAAGAGGAAAGGTACATGTGACAGACCCTTCAGCAGCCCTCACGGCTCAGAGACCAGGACACTCCTCTCATGAGCAAGAGAAGCCGGTGACGGTGTGCACTCGATCAGGGAACAAAGCCGCTGTGGCCACCTCTGCTTGTGTCACAGGGCACCCACGGTTCCTGTTGCATCTTCTCCAAGGATGTCAAGGGCCATTCATATTGTCCTAGGGAGGCGCACTCCTCCCCACTCTGCCGGCGTGGGGACTGTGGGGTCCCCAGTGTGGTGGGAGGCAATCATGGAGGGAAAGCAGCAACACATTAAGACGACCCACTTGCCTGCATCCTTGGCCACTCCCACTTGCAAGGTAGCACTTCCCGTGCCCGGATGAAGGTCTGCAGGCAGTTTAACAGGACGGGAAAGCAGGCCATGTCCTCAGCACCACACACAACTAAATACGCACTGCCTTTGACCTCTGTACCTCTCTCTGAAGCCACTGATCAAACAGACAACTAGCAGCATTTTCTATCTGATGCTTATGGGAACTGACAGTCTCCAAATGGTCACCAATCCGTGTGGACGCTCAGAGCCCTAGTTTGTTGGGAGTCTGTACAGCAGGCTTGACTTCTGTTCTGGAAAGTGGGGGCCACCACTTCCCACGTCACCCTGTGACCTTCCACAGACCCCACCCCAGCCATGCTGCTGATGGGCGCAGGCCAGCACCAGGCCTGACAGCCGGGGGAGGGAGAGGCTTTCTCAAAACGTGCAGCCCCGCATGCAGGGGGCGTGTGTGCTGAGTTCTCACCGAAGGCGTCTGGGGCGAGTCAGTGAAAGAGGTTTCGGAAGCAAGGCAGACAGAGTTCCCATGCAAGCTGCTCTCCTGAGAAGATGAAAGAGGCCCGTCCACGGTGCTGGGAGGCGGCCTGGCTACGGCAGGCACCGCTAAGTCAGAGCTCTGAGACTGGTGGACAGGTAGGAAATGCGGAGAGGAAGAGGAGGTAGGCGGAAGGAAAGGGTGAACAGAAGCTTGGTTGCGAGGCACGAAATCCTGGGAGTAGGACCTAAACACGGATTTATACTACAGAACCAAAGTGGAGAACAAACACAAAACGACAGGATGGGAGGAAGAAAACAGACAAAAGAAAAAGTGATTAGATTAACTGAGCTGAGCTCTGATAGGCTGTTCACAGTAAATGTAAGGAAGGCCACTGATGGGCCAAACCAACCCCGTGGTCCTCTGGCTATGGTCCCCAGCCCGGGCGCACCCTCCCTGGAGAAGGCCTGAGGACTGGCTGATGTCACCCTCAGGGTCTAAACCGCAGGCCGCCCCCAAAGGAGAGCACGTCCCACGCACTGTCTGGGTGGTCATGTCCTCTGCTTTGTCACACCAGCCAGTGTATCTGTGCCTTTTGTCCTTTCAGGGCCCTTGTGGCTAAATTCAACACGGACGGTCACCCTGGGGCATATTTTCTCATTCTGAACCTTCTGGGTAAGTCTCATTGGATGTATCCCTTGAAAGTCAAACACTACAGCCTTTGAAACACTGTAATCCACCTCAAATCCTTTTGGAAGGGAAGGGCATAATAAGCCTTAAAAATGGTCAGAAGTGTGCTATCAAAACACTAAAAATTTCTTTGAGTTTATTTCCCTTCCTGCCCAATCTTTTGCTTTTTTTCTTTCTGTTTTAAATAAACGAAGTGATCTTGCAATCTCTGATATACCACCTTAGAGCCCCCAGGCTACACTCTTCCAAGGCTGAGGTCAGGCTGGGAAGTGAGCAGGAGCGCCACCGTCCTTAGAGCCACCAGCATGCCCCAGGCCGGGGGTCCGCTGATGGGGAGGGACAGAGGAGCTCTGAGGCCACCGATTGCCAGGCTAAGAATGTGACAGGTCACCATGCCCTGCAAAGGGCCTGCCAGCATGCTGCTATCCCAGGGAGCTGGGAGAGGAACATGTGGAAAGCACCGTGTCTGAAGTCCTTGCCAGGCTCACTTGCCCACGAGGATGCCAGAGCCTGTCCAAGGTCAAAGCAACACAAATGTTCACATCACACACTCAAATGTTCTCTGCATCTTGGCATAGGATTTTCAGAACCCACAGACAAGGAAGAGGAGGAAGAAACAAAATTCTAAACGAACCACTTAACGTGGTTTTGCAAAGCTACACTTGAACCTGGACAAGTCGGGACAACTCCAGGCACAGGGAGGCCCTCCCTCCGCCCTGCCAGGCTCGGCTGCACCGACGGGTTGAAAGGTCCTCCTCCTTCCTCGGGAGGCCATGGCCCTCTCACCCCTTCGCTCCCCCGTGAGCTCCAGTACCTGTTGGTTTACATCAGGCCCAGGACACCAGCTCTAGGTACCTACCCATTCTTGCACATTTCGTTTCTCCACCTAACGCACAAACTCAAGGCCAACCCTTGTACTGGCAAATGAATCAATACAAGTGCCCTGTGTGTTCTGACCAACTGACACTGAAGCCTTCAATTCCTGTTAGAAGTGAAGTTCTGTTCACAGGTCTTCTTTCTAGAGAAGCTGGGTGAGAGGACCCCTGGCTCGCCACCCCAGCTCCGCCGCTCTCGGTCCGATGGCTGTGGAGCTGGAGTGTCCAGTGCCCTCAAAGAGGGTCCAGAGAGACACTGGCCCTTCTGCCAGATGGAGCTACAGTGCAAAGTCTGAGACCCGGAAGGGGGCCCTCACCTGACCATGCTGGCACCCCCAGTCTTGGACTTGTAGCCTCCAGAACGGTGAGATAGATGTTTATTAGCCACCCAGTCTTTTGTTCTAGTAGCCAGAATGGGCTCAGACCAAGGCCAGCTCTCTCTAGAGTCCTGCTGCTGTCCCCATCGACACCCGCTCCCTGTAAACTCACTGAGCACTTAAGCAGGCCTTGAAGTAATTGAGCCAGACTTATATACACACGCGCGGTTACTGTGTTTACCTATTAAGTTTGGTAGGATCTCCCTAACTGAATACATGGCGTTTTTTAAAGATTAAAAAAAAATTTTTTTTATTGGGGAATCAGGGGAATGGGAACAGACAAGTTGCTGTCCTTTTGTTCTTCAGTCTAGTTGTGGAGGACATCGCTTCACTGGCCCATGTTGGTATTATCATTGCGCTCTTCCCGGGTGAGGCAGTCGCTCACCGGCCATTGGACGGCCACTCACGAAAGCGCACTGCAGCTGCTGACCAGTCCCACTGCAGCCCAGCTCCAGGTTGAGCTGTTGTTCACCATCTTAGCTGTAGAGGGTGCAGCGTCACTGGCCCTCATGTGGGATCCGAACTGGGGCCTTGCTGCTCAGAGCTGGTGTCCCAAGGAAACTCCTAACCAACGCACCACTCGGCTGGCCCAAGAAGGCACATGTTCAAGTCACACAGACCTGGGCTATCTCTTTCTACCCCCATGAGCCTCAGTGTTTTCCCCTTTAAAACAGGTATGAAAACAGCACTTCTGTCCCAGGCTCCGTGTGGATTTAATGAGATGATGCCCCATGAGTCGTGGCACAGCGCTGGCATATAACAACCACTCCATCCGTGTCGGCGTCCTCCTGTGTCCTCCCAAATACCAATCTGGAAACTGCTCTACACAACAGAACCGAGGCATTTAATAGGGGTCCGATGCATATTTACGAATGAAGGAATCCTTAGGAATGGCTTCTAATGTTATTACCTCAGAGCCTAGAATGCTGCCTGACTCCTGGCAGCGTGCCAGGGCTGAGTGGCAGGTAACCGGCAAGCTTCACCCACTGCCTGCCCCAGGGCAGGTCCACACTGGGAGGCTGGGGAAGGAGGCACAGGGAGGCCCCCGGGGTGCTCTGCTGAGGAGGAGGGGCAGCCACCAAGGAGAAGGGAGGGAGGCTGGGCTTCTCTTGGACAAAGAGGCTCAGCCGCCCCACCCTTCACTCCCTCCCTCTCTGCTCCCTCAGGGGCTCCAAGCCTGGGAGGTATTCAAGCTATGCAGTCAGTCCCTGTGCTGGAACAACAGCCAAACTTGAAAAGTACCTTCAAGGGGGTGGGAGGATTCAAGGGACTGCTCTCTAATCACCAAAAAGCTCTCGGTGCCTCTCCAGCAGCTCTGCACATGGGAGGGCCACACTGGGGCTCATTATCATACCATTTTCAACAAGTCTGGACTCTATTGCTTCCCCAGAGAAACATTTCCAGGCCCTTTAAGATCTTATTTATTCATTGGAGCAGGGAGAAAGGCAGAGCTGGCCACTGAACAGAAAGCCCACTTCAGCACAGCCTGGAGTTTATTTTAAGATCTGGCTGGTGCCTGGCTGTGCCTCTGACAGAGCGGCTGCACTCTCCGCAGCAGGAATTTTTATTTATAGCCAGAGAGGACTGTTGGGGCTGAGGATTTTATAATAAGAGGAGCTGCCTGTCTGGAGACTGCAGGTTTGTGCAGAACGCCTGGGAGTGCCAGAGCAAGCTCCCTAGAGACAGCAGGGAGGAGAGGGGTGCCTCACCCCCAATGCCAACGCTGATCGCACCATCAAAGTGCCAAGAAGGCCGTCCCATGGTGATGACGACGACAGCCCCTCTTACTGAGTGCTGCCGGCTGGTCAGACAGACAAGGTGCCGAGGGTGCTGCATGAATCACGTCATTTAATCTCCACAAAGTGCTGTGATGACCCTCATTACAAAGAGAAAGAGCCAGGTTGGGAGGGCTGGCCACGTGCTGGTAACACACGGCTCAGCTCATCGGCCATGATGTGGGGATAGCCCGTCTCACACTCTAAGTATTCTGAGCACGTGACAGTCCCTAAGCCGTCCTACAGCTCTGCAGGATACAGGCTAATTCCGCTCGGAGACCTCCTTCGCTGAGTGTCCTGTGATGACCGGCAAGCAGAAGCCCGTGAGCTGCGGCTTGAGATACTACAAAGCCAGGGCTGCAGAGAGACCTGCCCTCAGGGGACACGCCGGAGCCTGCAACCCACTCTCGGAAACACAGACCTGAAAGAGCCACCAGACCTTCTGGGTGGTAAGGATGATGGAGACCCACGACCTTCTATGTTGGCGTGCGGCCATTCACACGCTAAAAAGCAAAGCCCCCCGAAATCTGGTCAGGCACCAGTTTTCAGACACTTTCTCTCCATCACAGTCCTGGCATGAAACATGACGAGGGATGGGCCCTGCGCTGCGCTGGCAAGAAAGCGGATCTTTAAATGACAAATTCTGATGCACCATAGCATTCCATTCCACTGAATTCCCTTGATTACCAGGAAGACCGGAGGTGCCCGAGAAGGCAGTCGGTGTGCCAGCAGCTGCGGGCTGGAGTCACAGGACAAAAGACCTTGATCGGAACGGCTGCTCCCTGGTGACCTGAGTTTCAAGCTTTGAGAACCTTCAATTCTGCCAAGTACAGGGAAACACAGACATTGTGGTGAAGTGTTTGGGAAGAACAGAAGTTGCCAGAGAGCCATCGTTACTGCTACTCTTAGCTCAAGCAAAGCTTATGGCTTCAGTGTTCTGGGACGCTACTTAGCAATAGATAAGCTATTGGACAGCTGGTTTGGGGCTTACGTTTTTATCCATTATTTGTGAGGAAATGCACTTAAGCGATGCTGCTGTCGGAGTGTGGTTGGGGCTTCCTTCCCCTGTGGAAAGTCACTGGGAGCCACAGCTCCGCACTGGTCCTGGGCTCACAGCACGGTTCCTTCAGCCGGGGATTGCGACTATCACCACGATGCGGGGCCTGAGTTACGTCTCTTGGAAGGAAGTCGAGCTTTGAGCTGCTGCATAGCACCCTACACAGTCTGTGGGGAGGAAACTCCTGGAGACAGGCACATCTGACACGGATCCCAGAGGTGGGACATGGCCACTCCTAGGTCCCCAGGAAGAACTCTTGATGACACTGCCACTCCACGTGGCAATCCGGAGAAAAAGCTGCTGGCTTTGCCTCCGCTCCCCTTCCTGGTCCCAATTAACTGTGTTTATGAAAGCCATCCCTTGGGTCTCCCCTAGGCCCAGAGGCACCTTCCGTCTCTGATGCCCTGTGTTAATTTACGCACATAACAAATAGATTTTACATGATGTTAGAAGATGACTTCCCAAAGCCAAGTGGCGGGTTCTGAGGCTG